AATTTGGATTTGTCATGTTACTTCTTTACTGTATAATATTTTAATTTTGTTTATTTATTTATTGCCTCTCAAAACATTTTAAGAAAATGATATACCTGAGGGCACCTGGGTGATTCAGTTGGTTAAGTGTCCAACTTCAGCTCAGGTCATGATCTCATGGTTCACGAGTTCGAGACCCACAGTGGGCTCTGTGCTGACAGCTCAGAGTCTGGAGCCTGCTTCATATTCTGTGTCTCCCTCTCCCTCTGCCCCTCCCCTCATCATGCACTCTCACTCTCTCTCTCAAAAATAAACATTAAAAAAATAAAAAAATAAATGATATACCCAATAATGTGATGTTGGCTCAATGCTTTGCGATAATCTCCAAAGCTTATCACCTCCAGAAGATAGAATATTTAATTGGCAAGCGCCTGAGAGTTTCTCCCTCCCAACCTTCCTTGTGTCTCAAATGTGGCCTTAACTGGTTCCCACTGCTCTGTACGTTCCCCCAAACATAAGACACAAGTAGGAAAGGTTCTTCTTGGCAAAAGACAAAAACACTAAATACGGAAAAACCGACTCTTGATGAGCAATGCTTTTGAGGAAGGAGCTTGATTGAAAGGGGCAAGTGTGAAAATTAATAAATGGAAATGTGCTTTAGAATGGACTCAGGAGAAAAGCAAGGCAGCCCTTGTCCACTACCACTCGTGCTTAATTGCAGATCCCACAGAAAGAGAAAAGCCTTGCAAGTCAGTAGGACCTTAGCTAATACTTTACTCCCCCAGGAGCAGGAAGAAAGGCTTTCACCCTCTGCCAGCCCAGCCAGTGAGCAGCCACAACGCGTCCAACTGCTAGTTTCCTACAATGCACCCTTGGTTCACAGCAACCCTCCCAACCTTCACATTCCACTAGAAAACTGTTTGTCTCCTTTGTTCTCTGGACTTGTGTGGTTCTGCCATCACTTGTTCCAGACTGTAATTATCTACTGTCTGTAAATAAACCAATTTATCAAATTTATTTACTTATTTATTTGCTGGTAAAATAACTAAGAGTTTCATTTTGAAGGTGAACAAGGTTGACACTGATTTCTCACTTGAACTAATGGCAGCACAAATACAGTGCAGTGGCATATTTAAAATGTTAAGAGCAGGTGCACCTGGGTGGCTCAGTTGGTTGAGCCACCAACTTCGGCTCAGGTCATGATCTCACCATCCGTGGGTTGGAGCCCCATGTCTGGCTCTGTGCTGCCAGCTCAGAGCCTGGAGCTGTTGCAAATTCTGTGTCTCGCTCTCTCTGACCCCACCCCACCCTCACTCTCACTCTGTCTCTGTCTCTCAAAAATAAACAAAAAAATAATAATTTTAAAGGCTAAAGGCAAAATTATCTGTCAAACTAAATGTCTATACTCAGCGAAAACATCCCTTAAAATGAAGAGGAAGCTAGAGACTGGGTCAGACAGATGAAAGCAGAAGGAATCCGTCCAGGTAGACAGGCTCTACAGGCCTGTCTTTCAGGCACAAGAGACCTGATTCCAGCTCAAGTTGAGGTCTCTACAAGATGTCTTTCTTGCCATTTAAACCTAAGAAACGTTCAATTATTTCAACGTCATGCTGACCCAACATATTATAGGGCAAATATATGCCTAAAGTGTGGACAACCAGGTGCAGCCTCATGGCTTCCACTCTGCGGTCACGACTATGGTGGGAGAGGCAGCTCTAGGGCACCTGGGTGGTTTTATGGAAGCGGAAACTGTTCACACCTTCACAAAGCAGTTAACCTTTAACTGTATCCTCATGCTAGCAAGTCTTAAATTAATGAGAATTGACCACATCTTCCTTCACTGAATTTTCAGAGTCCTAAGGATTTTATGATTTTTTAATCACTCCCGCACCCACTTCCCCTTAGAGTGCGGAACTGTGTGTGTCGGCTCTTCCAGGACCTTCCTGAGACCCTGCTCTGGTGGCACTCCCACAATGAGCCCCAGAACAACATGGGACAGGACTTGGAGGTACTTCCTCAAGGACAGAAACTTACTCTTCGCCAGAGAACAGCAGACAAGGCCGTTTACCCAAACCTCAGGCCTGTGTGAAGGCAGTACTATCAGCCCGTGCAGGACACAACTGTCGTTACAAGACAGATCCGTGGGGGGTCGTCCCAGACCCGAACCCCAAAGCAGCGGTGGGCCCCTCCGCCCTCTGCCCCCCTACATTGCCAACAACTGGGGTTGGGGGTCCTGGGACCACCACCTCTGCACCCCACCACGCGGACAAGGACGGAGAGTCAGGTGAGGACCGATGGTGACCCCAAAACCAGTATGGGACACCGGAACCCCACTCGGGAAGACGACTATAACTCGGGGCCACACCCCTGGGATCTGGGAGACCTGGGCCCATGACTCAGCCTTTCTCAGTCCCACCCCAGGCTCTCAGAGCATCTTCCTGGTGGTTCTGGGACTGTGGCAGGTAAGAATGTGGACACTACACCTAGAGCAGAGGGATGCATGTGGTTATGACCCAGCTGCACTGGAAGAGCCACCTTGGAAAGCACAGGATCCCGCCTGCCCCCGAGCCTGATTGGATGGTTTCTGAGCACAATGATATAATTGCACCGGGTTATGCACCCCTGTGACCTGATTGGGCATTGCTTCAGGTCCTGACACCTGATTGGACACTGCTCTGAGAAACCCGCTCCCACCCCGTGATAGGACGGCCTGCAGCCCCTTCACGTTCCGATTGGAAGGTGATCCTGGCACCACCCCTGTGTCCCAGAATTGGGCAGATCTGCTAGGTCCCACCTCCTGCTCCTTGATAGGCTGGCGGTACACACGTGTTTGACCTGTCTACCCAGAGGTCAGCTCCCAGCAGGATGGCTCCTGGCCAGGGGATGCACCGGCATCCTCCTTCCTTCAGGTAACTAAGTTTCTCCAGGAACCTCCCTTCTCCAGGAAACCTGCCCAAGTGAGATAGAGCAGGGCTGTGAAACCGCACGCTCCCGTGACATCAAAGACTATTCTAGGATTACTCCCTTATTGCAAGTTCAACAGGGGCAAAATCCAGCCGTGCACTGCTTGGTGAGGAGAACAGAGGTAGAGCCGCAAAGAAAGGAAAACCAAGAGTAGTCCCCAGGGACAGCACACTCACACACTACAAGAGAAAAATCATACACCTGCAAATACGGCCCAAAGGTCTTGAGTGCTTGTGAACACCGGAGTCACCACAGCAGCATGAAGGCGTGGAGCCCCCAACCCTCACGGAGAAGGACAGTTCTGTCCTGAGACACTTTTCCCCAGGGGACGCTCTCTGGATAAAGCCCCCGGTAACCCGGGTCAGCAGGGACAGGAGCGACCTGACACACTGACCACCCTCTGCCCTGAAGGGGAAGAAAAGAGGCAGAAAGAACTCGGGCATTTTACACCTGCTCAACGCGAGGCCGGCGGAGGACAGAGCCATCCGTGCTGGGCTGGACAGGGTGACAGGTCCTGCTCACAGGTGACAGGTGACCTGGAGACGCCTACCTGAGCCCTGTGCTCCTGGGTGGTTCAGTTGGTTAAGTGTTAAATCAAGTGAGTCTTGATTTTGGTTACGGTGGTGACGTCATGGTTCGTGGGTTCGAGCCCCACATGGGGCTCGAAGCTGAAGGTTCAGAGCCTGCTTGGGATTCTCTGTCCCTGTCTCTCTGCCCCTCCCCCTGCTCACACCCTCTGCCTCAAAATAAAGAAAATAAATAAAATAAATATAAAAAGAGAGAGAGAGAGAGAAGACTGACAGGAAGTCCCCCTGTTCACCCATGACAGGGCCACACGCAGACCCCCCCACACCCACACTTTGTGCCTCATCCACGATCAGCTCAGCGGCTTGTCCCCGTGACCAAGGGGCACAAAATGCTGGCTGGTCCCAGCAAAGTGCTGGGAAGCAAAGTGCTTTGGCTTTTCTCCTTCCTCCAGACCCCTGAACGTGGGCTTGCTCTCAGCCTGAGCCACACACAGCCCCTCCTGGGGACAGGGGGACAGGCTGGCCTCAGGGAACCTCCACGTCAGCACCACACCTGCTCATGCCTGGTTTCTTTCCTCCTCTCCTTTTACACGACTCTTGAGACACTCGCAGGTCTTATACTCAGTGTCCTCCCTGTCGACGTAGCCCCTGCCCCAAATGCAACTGCCCCCCGATCCCCTGCAGGCCCCTGCCCCCCTGCACAGCCATTGTCCCCAATGCAAAAGCCACCCCCCCTCCTCGTCCCCCTGCAAGGCCCCTGCCTCTAGTGCAACAGTCCCCTCCCCGCACTTTGCAATCATTCTCCTCAATGCAGGGCTATCCGTACTCAATTGGGAATCTTCATTTGACACTGGTTTAGCCAACTGTCCACCACCGCCCGTTTCCTACCCAAACTTTACCCAGGCCACTGTCCTCCCCACAGGCCCCTGAACTGCGGGTGGCCCACACTCTGAGCATCCACTCAGCTGAGGAACAAGGCCCTGGGGACATGAGCCAACGAGGCCTTCCTCCACCGCAGTGGCCGGATCCTGACACTGGGCTCTCCTGCCCATCCCCCTCTTAAAGAACAGCCACGCCCCGGTTCTGTTTCACTGGAGACCCTGGAGGATCTCTGAGACTGGACATTGTCCCTGTTGGAGTTTTTTGTAATTAAAGTGTCCTCAGACAAGCTGGGATTTGAATTTCTCTCTTAGGTCCATCATGAGTTCCCAGGATTTACCGCCCCACGGGTGGTGGTCCCGGCCTTCTTCCACCAGCCAGGGACTCAGCTGGTAACACGGAAACCAGCACGTGAGAAGGGGACAGGACGCAGGGACTCCACCTCGCGGCCCGCCGCAGAAAATCGGGAGGGGACCCCAGAACCAACCCGCGGGGAGGGGACAGGACGCCAGAACCCCACTCCGCGGACGAGGGCTGAATCTCGCGTCCGGTCACCGCGGTCCGGGAGACGTGGGCCCGCGGCCACTTCCAGACAGTTCCGGCCAGTTGGAACGAGCGCCCCCCACCCCGTCTCAATCCCGCCGGACTCACCCTCTGGCGGCTCCGCTCCGGGCTCTCCACGCGTCCTCCACTCGGCACTGCGGCCCCAGGCGGGTGCCAGCCCCGCGCAGAGGAGCCCGAGCCCGCGGGGAACGCGGATTCACGTCCACGAGGTGGGATCGCGCCCGCCCCCGGGCCTGATTGGACGGTTCCCGGGATATAATTGCGGCCCCCGCGCCGTGATAGGACGGCTTGCGGCCCTTCACGGTCTGATTGGAGGGTAATCCTGACGCGGCCCCTGTGGCCTCAGATTGGACAGCTCCCCCAGGCCCCGCCTCCTGCCCCCTGAGGCTCCCGCTCGCGATACACCTGTGCGGGATCTGTGAGCCCCCAGGTGGGCTCCCAGCAGAATACACTCTTGGCCCGTTGACCCGTCTGCACCCTCCTTCTGTCCGGAGAATCTGACTCACTTTCTCCGGGGAGCCTCCCTTGTCCGGCGCCAGATCAGGAAGAGACAGAACAGAAGGGCCCGGTGACCCTTGAGTCCGCGGTGGACACGGGGTGGCGGTGCACGGATCCCCTGTATTTAAGAACAGCTCAATGACCGGTGACGTCACTAAACAGAAGAGAAGGTCTTCCTGGGTTTTGACCTGACCCTTAGACACCGCGAGGCCCCACTCTCCATCCCCGCCCCACTTCTCTGGCCTCAGGTCACCCAAACATGCCCTGTGTCCTCAGCCCCCACGAGACGTGGGATCCCGCGATCCCAGCAGGACACAGTCACAGGTGTGCATGGCTAGGGGAATGTAAAGTAGGGCACCTGATGTGGATAAAATCTTGATTGTTTCTCAAGAAGTTAACCACGGAATTATAATGTGACCCATGTATTGAGTCCTACCCAAACCAAAACAGATTCTCGGATGTGTGCACACGAATGCCAGGTGCCAAACCATTCAGGACCCACAAGAGGGAAACGTCCTGAGTGTCCCCCAGTGCGTGGATGGATGAACAGGGTGCAGCATATACACAGGACGGACGGTGACTCAGCCCCAGAAAGGAATGAGGCACGGACACATCATGCACGTGAACCAATCGTGAAAATGTTATATAGCACGTGGAAGACACCAGCCACACCAGGCCACATGGTGTGAGTCTGCTTACATTAAATAGGCAGAGTGGGCAAATCCATTGCGACATTATTTCAACAGTGCCCAGGAAGCATGATTTCCTGGCTATTGTGGCCTTTAAATTTGTTTTGAAAATGGAGATATAAGTCACATACCGTAGTGCTCACACTTTTAAGAGTAAAAATTCAGGTGTTGTTTTATTTGATGTGTTCTCAGTGCACCATCTGAAGAAAGAAATGGAGCCTTTTACATTCCACATTCACAGGGACTGATTACAAACAGGATCTGCTGTGACTTTCCTTGCAGAACACAATGCACACCTGAGTATTGCAACACATCACACCTGTGGCTGTGCCCAGCTGGGGGTCCTGATAACACACATCCCTAGACATTGTTTAACGCGATAGGCCATGAAGGAGTTTCCGGTTTAAGTGATGATCTTTGATTCTCATGCAAATATACATCTGTACATCCATACCTTCATCATGATGCTTCCAACATACAAGTTCTTGATGACTGCTCAATTTGGGGTAAGTCCCTGTACCTCATTTTATAAAAATTCATGTCTCTGAACAATTGTTCCTATGTATAAAATTTTGAAGTGGGATTTGTGAAGTTCCAAGAAAAACTTGGTATAATGCTGATGGAATTCTATTAAAATGATTCAACTGTTTGTTAAGTATTGACACGTGGGAAGATTTCCTTGAACCTCTTTCTCAGCCCACCTACAAGCCAGGAAATTCTGATGGCTCTAACTTCAAATACTTTCTGGGCTTCAACCTCCACATCATAGCCATTCTACCAACCCAGTGTGATCCACCACCTTGGCTGAAATCACCATCCTACTGTCTGTTGTCATGGTAACAGAAGGATAGTCTGCGGGTGCCTGATCAACTCATCTTGAGAAATCACCATCCTAAGGGACCTGAATGTGAGACAGGAAACCATCAAAACACTAGAGGAGAAAGCAGGAAAAGACCTCTCTGACCTCAGTCGCAGCAATTTCTTACTTGACACATCCCCAAAGGCAAGGGAATTAAAAGCAAAAATGAACTATTGGGACCTCGTGAAGATAAAAAGCTTCTGCACAGCAAAGGAAACAATCAACAAAACTAAAAGGCAACCAACGGAAGGGAAAAGATATTTGCAAATGACATATCGGAAAAAGGGCTAGTATCCAAAATCTATAAAGAGCTCACCAAACTCCACACCCAAAGAACAAATAATCCAGTGAAGAAATGGGCAGAAAACATGAATAGACACTTCTCTAAAGAAGACATCCAGATGGGCAACAGGCACATGAAAAGATGTTCAACGTCACTCCTCATCAGGGAAATACAAATCAAAACCACACTCAGATATCACCTCATGCCAGTCAGAGTGGCCAAAATGAACAAATCAGGAGACTATAGATGCTGGAGAGGATGTGGAGAAATGGGAACCCTCTTGCACTGTTGGTGGGAATGCAAACTGGTGCAGCCACTCTGGAAAACAGTGTGGAGGTTCCTCAGAAAATTAAAAATAGACCTACCCTATGACCCAGCAGTAGCACTGCTAGGAATTTACGCAAGGGATACAGGAGTACTGATGCATAGGGGCACTTGTACCCCAATGTTCATAGCAGCACTCTCAACAATAGCCAAATTGTGGAAAAAGCCTAAATGTCCACCAACTGATGAATGGATAAAGAAATTATGGTTTATATACACAATGGAGTACTACGTGGCAATGAGAAAGAACGAAATATGGCCCTTTGTAGCAACGTGGATGGAACTGGAGAGTGTGATGCTAAGTGAAATAAGCCATACAGAGAAAGACAGATACCATATGTTTTCACTCTTATGTGGATCCTGAGAAACTTAACAGAAGCCCATGGGGGAGGGGAAGGAAAAAAAGAAAAAGAGGTTAGAGTGGGAGAGAGCCAAAGCATAGGAGACTGTTAAAAACTGAGAACAAACTGAGGGTTGATGGGGGGTGGGAGGGAGGGGAGGGTGGGTGATGGGCATTGAAGAGGGCATCTTTTGGGATGAGCACTGGGTGTTGTATGGAAACCAATTTGACAATAAATTTCATATATTAAAAAAAAAGAGAAATCACCATCCTACTGTCTGTTGTCATGGTAACCGAAGGATCCTCTACGGGTGCCTGATCAACTCACCCACCACCAAAGTCCGTCTTCTTGACTGACCAGCACATGCAACCCACCCCATCCTCTCCTCTCACATCTGCTGTTCCTCCTCCCCCCTCACTCTGCTGGGGGCACAGTGGCCTCTGGTGTCCTTCAGATATCCGAGGTCCCCTCCCTCCTTCAGAATGCATTTGTCTCCTGGGGCTGCCATAACACAGCATGAGACAGACATTTGTGGTGTCACAACTGAGGTGGCTGGAAGCCTGAGATCAAGATGTCTTGCAAGGTTGGTTCCTTCTGGAGGCTCTGAAGGACAAACTGTCCCAGGCCTCCCTCCCAGCTTCTGGGGGTTGCCCACAACCCTTTGCATTCCTTGAGGGGGTAGACACATCATGCCAATACCTGCTGCTGTCTCACATGGTCAAGCCCTGTCTTCAGCGCAGGCCTCTGTGTCCCAATCTCCCAGTTTTATAAGGATACTCATCATTGGGTCAAGACCTACCCTGATCCAGTGTGGCCTCATCTTCCTTACATGTGCAAACACCTTATTTTTCTTAAAAAAAAAAAATCTTTTCATGTTTTTATTCATTTTTGAAAGAGCACAAGCAGGGGTGGGGCAGAGAGGGGGGTTGGAACACAGAATCTGAAGCAGGCCCCAGGCTCTGAGCTGTCAGCACAGAGCCCGATGTGGGGCTTGAACCCACGAACCGTGAGCCAAAGTCAGACGCCGAACCAACTGAGCCACCCAGGTGCCCCTGAACTACTTATTTCTAGAGAAGGTTGTATTCTGAGGTTCCACATGGACATGAAATTTAGGGTGTACAATACTGAACCCAGAGTGTGTGTGTGTTTGTACTGCATATACCTTGTCATGAATTTATCAACTTCCAGTGTTACCTGAAATTGTTATTTTAGTCTTCCACTTTCCTATTCCCACCAACCTCCTAAATATATATCCCTGATATCTTAATTAAATAGAACTTGTATAGCAACAAAATGACACCCTGTTTACTTTTCACTGGTGAGACTTATATATAAAAATGATATTTTATCTGTTTACATTTATGGGTTGTCAAATCAGCCTTGCAGTTTTTCATTTAAGACAATTCTTGTCCATATTCTCATACATGCTTAGTCATAGTACCAGCTACATATGACCTCATGGATTTTTTCCTTATGAATCAATTTTTATTTTATTTATTTTTTTTTCAACGTTTATTTTTGGGACAGAGAGAGACAGAGCATGAACGGGGGAGGGGCAGAGAGAGAGGGAGACACAGAATCGGAAACAGGCTCCAGGTTCTGAGCCATCAGCCCAGAGCCTGACGCGGGGCTCGAACTCCCGGACCGCGAGATCGTGACCTGGCTGAAGTCGGACGCTTAACCGACTGCGCCACCCAGGCGCTCCTATGAATCAATTTTTAAAATTCTTATCTATTAAGACTTTTGTGATTAACATGATTGTAGTACATTAATAAGACTAAGATAATGACTTTGTCGATGCCCTGAGCCAAAGACCACCAGGACCACACCTGTAGTCAGAGAGGATCATCCTGGATTAGCGCATCAAATGACCACAACTCATGAAGGAGGGTAGAGGTGTCAGTGTGAGGGACACACTGTGACATGAGCCGCGTGAGGACGTGTTCTGACATGTCACATTCAGACATGTGCTGGATGATGTCAGTGTGTGGGATATTCTCCTTTACTCTGGACTGGGTGCTGTCTAATCCAGATACCATCAGGAGGTACGTGTAAATTTATCATTGAAAAATTGTCATAGTTCTTATGTTTTTATTTTTTGAAAATGTTTATTTATTGGTGCACCTGGGTGGCTCAGTTGGTTAAGCATCCCACTTTGGCTCAGGTTATGATCTCATGGGTCTTGAGTTTGAGCCCCACATGGGGCTGGCTCTCTGTTGTCAGCATGGAGCCTGCTTCCAATTCTCTGTCACCCTCTCTCTCTCTGCCACTCCCTTGCTTGCCCTCTCTCAAAAATAATTAATAAATTAAAAAATAATATTTTGAGAGAGAAAAAGAGAGAGTAGGGGAGGGACAGAGAGAGAGGAAGAGAGAGAATCCCAAGCAGGCTCCATGCTATCAGCAGAGAGCCCACCGTGGGGCTCGATCTCATGAACCATGAAATCATGTCCTCAGCCAAAATCAAGACCCAGATGCTGAACTGACTGAACCACCCAGGTGCCCACACAGTTCTTATCTAGAAAAAAGAATGCAGTGCAGCTCAAACTATGAATAAAGAGGCAGCCACCACATCAGCAAAAAGCAGGGAATATTTGGTGAGTTTTATGGACTGGACTCTATTTTCAAGCCTTTTACAGACATGACCATAACATGGTCTTCATGTGCCTCGACACATCACAGACAAGGAAGTGCCTCGTCCGAGGACAGGTGGGTGAATGGTTTCTGCTCAGTGAGAGAATGTCACAGCCCAGTACTGAGTGCCGGGCCGGCTTCCGTGTCTGAGGCTATGACTGCCATTGTCGCTGACTGTGTGAACACTTGACCTGCTGCTTACTCATATCCGGCAGTGTGTTCCTTCCATAAAGGAACTCCACCAACATATATAAATCCAGTTTCCCCTGAGCAAAATCTGTAAGATAGATATTTTTTATCTCCTTGTCTGAGTTGCCTGAGGCCTACAAATGCAGGTGATTTTCCAGAGGACACAGAAGAAAGGAAGCACTCAGGATGGTCACTGAAACTGAGCCTTCTTTCCCAGATTCTATACTGTCAGGTAATAAATAATGAGCCTCCCTCGTGTCCCACACCGTCGGCTCAGAGCACACAGTGATGTTCCATGCCGATCCAGGCACTGCAGACACTTGCCCACATGGCCTCGTGCTCATGGCCGCCCACCCTCTTGCTCTGCTTGCTCGCCCCCGTGGTGCTCCCCAGTGTCACCCCCTCTTTACATGCACTGACTGTCCTAGGATGTGGTCATAATACACGATTATCCTGGGCCTTTCTGGGCACCTGGGTTGGTCACACGAACTGGCTAGCCGCTAAAGGCACACAGAACACGTGCAGAGTCACAGCCTACAGACATCAATGGGCATCCCAGCAAAACTTCTCAGAATCTGAAGGCACTACAAAGAATAGCACTCCAGCTTCAGAAGGAAAACTGCCACTGGGTATGCAGAAGGGCTAACAACTTATAAGCCAGTTTGACAATGTATGTCATGGGTCTGCTAAGAAAAAGAGAGTTCCATGGAATATGTCCAGCTTGAACTCTTTTCCACCGGTGATGAAACAGAAGCGTGGTTCTGATCCACAGCTTCCATGCTGTTCTAGTTCAGCGCAGCTATATCTGAGCCTTATTAGTGTGTGGTATCCACGTGACCAGTGGTCACATCGATTGGTGAACTGAGGACAGCAGAGAGGAAGGCCCATTCTGACAGTGGTTGGAATGACTAGACATAAGCATTCCTCTCTGCAAACACTGTACAGATATCTTGATTTTCCATTTAAACTACCACATTCCTGAACATTCCCTTTACCATTTCCTTCCCAAGCCCCAGTGGGACTGCTCACCTCACACATCATCTTAGACATGAAGCCCAACTCCACCCGAAATACAACCAGACTCCCACCATGCCCAGGACCAGGGCATCATCCCTGGAGGCCATGTGACACAGAGTTAGAAACTGATCTGTGTCAAATGGGGGCGGGCCAACAGAAGCATGAGTGGCCTGAAGGAAAAGGGAAAGGCCTGGCCCATTTTTCCTCCACTGGAAATAAGGAAACACCTGAGTGAAGCATTACCAATCAATTACCCATCCTTCATGGGAAGAAACATCCTTTTCAGCACAATTTCTAGCAGGGAGGAAGTACAGGTTTCCATTCTGGTATCGATATTCAAGTAAACATCTAAGAGCTATTTTGGACAACAAACATTGGGAAGATGCGTTTCCAGATATTCGCAGTTATGCCTGGAGCTCCATAGAAGAACTCATTCCCACCACTAGACTCACCTCATCAACAACACTGTTTCTTCTAGTCGTTCACAGACAAGTAGGAAAGACGCACGTGTCTGGCTCCTCCTCCCATACTTTTGAGCAGGACACTCACAGCCCAGCTGATGACAGACCATCACAGCTCCACCACTGAGAGGTGGTCATAGACCAGCCAATGAGAAGGCACCATCTTCAAACCCCCAGTTTGTCCCAATGGACTTTTTCTTTACCACAACCCCTCCCAACTCTCCCCATTTCCTGTAAAAGAGCATCCTCTCCTTTCTTCTCTGAACTTGCCCATGGATTGGCCATTTCTTGCCTGTCCTGACTTGCAATCCTTGCTATTCCCAATAAACTCGTTTTTGCTTGTAAAATAATAGACACTTAAAATTAACCTCACTTTGGGGTCAGAAACCGCACCCGTTAGAAGTGTGCTTTCAGTCCTACTCCTGTGCATACTCAGACTCTTCCTACCTGGACCTGTGCAGGCCTTTGGATCATGGCCTTTTGAAACCAGCCAGTTTGCGGGAAACTGTGGTTTTTAGGGGTTTTAGGAGATCCCAGTCATCGAATGCCTTGAGGAAAGAGACTACATTCGGATCCAGACAAACCTCCTCAGGACTGTGGATCGCCGACACGTCTCCTTTTGATTGGTGGCATTTTACACGTCACTCCTCTGAACAATGAAGACTTTCAATAGTTTACGGATAGGTATTTTAAATAGGATGAAAGTGGTAAATATTAGCTTGGGTGTGCTATCGGAAATCTTTTTTGTTTTTTAAATAACATTGTATCATTTTTTAAAACTATCCTGACAGCCAGTATGGGGATAGAACCCACAACTCTAAGTGCAAGAGTTGCCCACTCCACTGACTGAGCCAGCCAGCCTGCAAGACCTTTTTTAAAAGGTACTACGGCAGCAATGCTTTCCCTTTCACATCCAGCCCAGTAGTATGAGTTACAAACTGCTACTCGGCCATATGCCTTAGCCACGGGCAAAACCAAAAACATTTAGCCCGATAGTTGATATACACTTGGGGTACCTCAGGACTCTGGAATATTATGGAAACAATGAGGTGTTTTTATCTCCAATGGGGATAAAACTGAAGAGGTTCCTATGTCCAAAATTTATCAGATGCTATATTTTGGCCAGCTGATCTGGCTGATATTAGGGGTACTAGGCACCCCAGGTATTATGTCCTGGGGGCCAGAGGAAAGCACCTCATAAGGATTTCCACCACAATCACTGCTCATGGAAACAAACGGGCAAACCTGAGTCATGGTGCAAAGGCATGTCCTTCGAAGTCACAACTTGGCACAAAATTCACTGACACCAAAAATTAGTCCCAAAAAAGAAACAATATTGGAAGTTTACCAATTGTCCATTCAATAAAAAGAGAGAGCTCGGGGCACCTGGGTGACTCAGGCAGTTAAACATCTGACTCTTGACTTCCACTCAGGTCATGATCTTGCAATTCGTGGGATCAAGCCCTGCATCGGGTTGCATGTGGACAGTGTGGAGCCTGCTTGGAATTCTCTCTGCCCCTCCCCCACTCTCTCAAAACAAATAAATAACAAAAAAAAAAAAAAAGGAGAACTGATGTGAAAATATATCCTTTAATAATAAGGATTGAATAGAAGAGTAGGTACTGACTCAGGAAATTGCAGTATCTGCAACAGAGAACGGAACTTTCAACAATAGAAGTCTACATGTTGTGATCATATACTAGAAACATTCTGCAAGGTGAAATTAAAGAAATCTTTTTCTATAATTATATAAAGTTGTACAAACACTGCCACACACACACACACTCTCTCTTCTCACTCCTGGGTCCAAGATATATACTAATGGAAAGGAGACATGTTGTGCATAACAGTGTGATTACTTGAAATCTGAGACAACAACATCTATGTTGTACAGATGCAGAGGAGAAAGAAGGCCACTTAAAACCATTAGCATTCATATCAGGGACATGAACTAGGAATTCATACATTTGGGATCCCCATTAAGGAAGAGGCACTTTGAAAGGCAAAGTCATATTCATAACAATGAAAAGATTTCTGTCCTGCCGGAATTTTTGTGAACAAAATACATCAAGTTCTATACCTGATGTTTTCCCAAAATCTTGTTTGTTCAGGATCATCTCCAGTGTGTTGGCTCACATTCCCAATAAAATTTTAAGGGAGAATAAATGCTTTCCCACAGTGTGTCTGTGCTCACAGATTCCTGGGATACCTGAAGGCTTTTCCACGGTGCTGAAGTTCATAGGGTTTCACGTCACTGTGCTTGCCCGTGTGTCCTTGAAGGGAAGAGAGACAAACGAAGGCTTTCCCACAGAGCAGACATTTACAAAGTTTCCCCAGTGTGTGTTCTCATATGTACCTGCAGATGTGTGTGATCCCAGGAGGCCACGCTGCTTATTCAGAGTTTCATTGCACTGTGTATGTTCGACTGACGTTTGAAATGTTCACGCTTCTGGAAAGTTTGTCCACACTCCTTAAAATCATGGTGTCTCTCCCCAGTGTGTGTCCACGTATGTGTTTCCTGGTGTGATGGACACTTGAGGGCCCTCCCACACTGCTGACATTCATAGGGTCACTTTCTAGTGTGTGTCCTAACGTGTACTCGCAGGTTCTCAGAGGAGGTGAAGGCTTTCTCGCAGTGCTGACATTTATAGGGTCTCTCCCCAGTGTGTGTCCGCGCATGTATTTGTAGGTCTCTGTGATACCTGAAGGCTTTGCCACACTCCTCGCATTCATAGGGTTTCACTACATTGTGTGTGGTCATGTGACGTTCAAAAGGTCGATGCTTCCTGAAAGTTTCCCCACACTCCTTACATTCCAAGTGTCCGCCCACTGAGTGTCTTCTTGCAGTATGTAGTACGAGGGTGTGGTGTCGAATGAAGGCTTTTCCACAGTGCTGACATTTATAGGGTCTCTCCCCAGTGTGTGTCCTCACATGAGCTTGCAGACTTGAGTTGTACCTGAAGGTTTTCCCACACTCCTGACATTCATAGGGTCTCTCCCCCGTGTGTGTCCGCATATGTTCTCGCAGATTTCCAAGATATCTGAAGGCTTTCCCACATTGCTGACATTCAAAGGGTCTTTCCCCCGTGTGTGTCCTCATATGGATTCGCAGATCTGTCTGATCCCGGAAGGCTCTGCCACACTGCTTACATTCACAGGGTTTCACCATACTGTGCATGGTCATGTGCCGATTAAAATGTCCACAATTCCAAAAAGATTTCCCACATTCCTTACATTCATAGGGTCTGTCCCCTGTGTGTGTTCTCACATGTCTTACAAGGGCACTGCGACCAGAGAGGGCTTTCCCACAGTGCTGACATTCATAGGACTTCTCCCCAGTGTGTGTTTTCTTATGTGTCCGCAGGCTTGAGTTATACCTGAAGACTTTCCCACACACGTCACACGCATGGACTCTCTTTCCACAGTCACCTCGCACATGACCCTGAAAGGAAGACGTGCGAGTGAAAGCTTTTCCACATTTCTTGCACTCTAGAGATTTTTTACTACTGAGCCTCTTCGATGTCTTAGATACTCTCCCAGTGTCCTGACTTTCATAGGGTTCCTCTATAAGGTCTGTGTCCGTGTGAGCACTGAGGCTCACGACGCAGCTGCAGGCTAGCCCACACTCCTCACCAGGACTAGGTTTGAGTCCTGGGTGAGATCCTCTTGGCTTCCCAAGGAAGGAACCATCTGCGAAGGCTTCTCTACGCTTAGCATGTTGACAGGATTTGCCTCTAGTAGGATAACCCTCATGCACAGTAAGACTTGTAATCAGGTTCAGGGTTTCTCCACATGGATCTCCTTCAATACGTTCACAGACACTCTCCACCAAAGGACTTCTGTTCAAAATAGGAAGGCACATGGTTAGGGAATAATGCTTATAAGCGATCTCTTTATTAATTAATGATATATTGATGTTTGTTAATCATTATTGGACTACCTAATGGCCATTGTCAATGAATGGGTATGTTTGTGGCACTGTCTCCATGCTTACAAAGTGGTACAAGCTTACTGCTCTGGCTAAGGACTCAAAGTCATAACTTTCTGGGCTTCTTACATATAGTTTTCCCTGATCATTCTTCCCAACTGAATTGTTTTACAGATGATCAATATCTACAATGCATTTATAAAAACTTTGTCTTGTGGGGCACCTGGGTGGCTCAGTCGGTTAAGCATCCGTCTTCAGCTCAGGTCATGATCCCACAGTTTGTGGGTTTGAGCCTCGTGTCGGGCTGTGCTGACAGCTCAGAGCCTGGAGCCTGCTTTGGATTCTGTGTCTCCCTCTCTCTCTGTTCCTCCCCCACTCATGCTTTGTCTCTCTCTCTCTCTCTCAAAAATAAACATTAAAAAAATTTTTTTTTAAAACAAAAAACTCTGTCTTGTGAAAATTCCGACTACACAATTGTTGTGCTAGGCTTACAGCTGTTCTTTAATTTCTAGTCTCATAATCGCCAACATCCCCATTCCTCCCATGCAAGTGTCAGTCACCTTGAATGCCCTTCCTGGGTTTGCCGGTGATCTCCTCTGCTACAAAATGTCTGCTTTTCTCCAAAAACAGAACACGAATCTTTTCTTGTAAATATTCCTGTTTTCTCTTCCCCCAGTGGCTCATTCAGCAAAATGCTCCACTGAAGCCTTGATGTACTTGTGTTACCTTGACTTCGACAACCTGCAAGAATTAGTAGCATTATTTATTTATTTATTTATTTATTTATTTATTTATTTATTTATATATTTTTTATATATGAAATTTATTGTCAAATTGGTTTCCATACAACACCCAGTGCTCATCCCAAAAGGTGCCCTCCTCAATACCCATCACCCACCCTCTCCTCCCTCCCACCCCCCATCAACCCTCAGTTTGTTCACAGTTCTCAACAGTCTCTTATGCTTTGGCTCTCTCCCACTCTAACCTCTTTTTTTTTTTTTTTCCTTCCCCTCCCCCATGGGTTCCTGTTAAGTTTCTCAGGATCCACATAAGAGTGAAACCATATGGTATCTGTCTTTCTCTGTATGGCTTATTTCACTTAGCATCACACTCTCCAGTTCCATCCACGTTGCTACAAAAGGCCATATTTCATTTTTTCTCATATTAGTAGCATAATTTAATTTATTGGGAATGGTCTGAGGTTTCAGGATAAGAAATAGACCTTACATCGACTTCCAGTCAGATACCGATCCCAAAATGTAAAGGAAGTTCATCAGGAAGAATGGACACATGACCACAGAAAAATTCTGGGGACCCTGGTGGTTTGGGACTTTGCCATTTTTTTTCATTTAAAAAAATTTTTTTTTCAACGTTTATTTATTTTTGGGACAGAGAGAGACAGAGCATGAACGGGCGAGGGGCAGAGAGAGAGGGAGACACAGAATCGGAAACAGGCTCCAGGCTCTGAGCCATCAGCCCAGAGCCCGACGCAGGGCACGAACCCACGGACCGCGAGATCGTGACCTGGCTGAAGTCGGACGCCCAACCGACTGTGCCACCCAGGCGCCCCTGGGACTTTGCCATTAAGAAGAAGAGTGTATGAAATGGCAGCCTCTTTACTCAGCCATACTTCAAAATATATGGAGACCAATGTGGAGATAAGTATTATCAGATTATTATCAGATACTAACTAGGCAAGATGCACACATCCACCCCTACCCCTACAAGAGGAACACAAAAGGCTCACTTTGACGGTGAGAATGGATGAAAAGTCTGGCAGGGAAGCCAAATGAATGACAAACATCATCTTCTCAAAGAAAGACTGAGTCTCCTTCCTAATGGATGTGTCCAAATGCTTTCCCCTTCTCTGGCACCTGGTGCACCCGAGGGTTGCTGGTCTGTCCTGAAGGCACAGAGGCCCTTGGTGAAGCCTTCTGCACTGTCCCAGTTGCCAACGGGAGGTCGGGTGGTGTGTGTGGCTACTGCCCTGCCCCTGGAGAACAGCTCAGCAGGGGGGAGTATTTGAAGGGCATCAAGCAATTTGGAAGATGGATTCATAGTCTTCAAGGTCATTGCTAATGGATACCTGTGTTTTGTTTTGTTTTTAGTGGAAGCATATTGATCTACACTATTGTCAGTTGTACAACATAGTGGTTGGACAATTATATACATTAAAAAGTGCTCACCATAATAAGTGTAATTACTGTCACTATACAAAACTACTATAAAATTATTGACCATATTCTCTGTGCTCTACTTTTCCTTCCTTCCTTATTTATTCAATAAGTGCAAATCTGTTCTCCCCAATCCCCTCCATGATTTCACCTGTCTCTCCATCCCCTTCCAATCTCACAAACACCATTTTATTCTCTGTAGTTCTAAGTCTATCCTTATTTTCTGCTGTTTGTTTGTTCATTATGTTCTTTAGATTTCACAAATAAAAGACAGTGTTTGTCTTTCTGTCTTATTTACTTGGAATAATACCCTCTAGACCCATCCAAGTTGTCACAAATCGCAAGACTTCATCCATTTCATATTGCTGAGTGATAGTCCCTTGTATGTAGATACCACATCTTCACTATCCATTCATCTGTTGATGGACACCTGCATTGTTTCCATATCTTGAGAATAGTGACTAATGCCACAAAGAATGGGGGGGGGGAGGTGCATGTATCTTACTGTCCTGGTTTTTTCTTTGGTGAACTACCCAGAAATGCAATTATGGACCTTATGGTACTTATGTTTAGCTTTTTGTGGAAGCTCCATACTGTTTTCCAACGTGGCTGCACCAATTTAAATCCCACCAACAAGAGGAGTTTCCTTTCCTCCACATCCTCACCAATACTCGTTATATCCTGTGTTTTTTGGAAGTAGCCATTCTGGCTGCTTTAAGGTGACAGCTCATTGTGGTTTTGATTTGCATTTCTCTGAGGATAAGTGCTATTGAGCAGCTTTTCATGTGCTAAGTGGCCAACTCTATATCTCCTTTAGGAAAATGTCTGTTACGTTCCTCATCCCATTTTTTATTTTTCTTTTTGTTTCCCTTACCTGAAGGGAGAATTCCACAAAAATATTGCCAAGGCTGATGACGTCCATGAGTTTATCTCCTCTGTTTTGTCTTAAGAGGTATGTGGGTTCAAGTCTTACACATAAGTATCTAATCCATATTGAGTTTACTTTTGTGTGAGATGATGTAAGAAGGTGGTCGAGCCTTACTTTTGCAGGTAGCTGTCTCATTTTTCTAACACCATTTATTGAAGAGATAGTCTTTTTCCCATTGTATACAATCAGCTCCTTTTTGTGTGGATGATTTGACCATATAAGCATGGCTTTATTTCTGGACTCTCTTCTGTTCTCTTGATCTATAGGTCTCTTTTTGTGCCAGTACGATACTGTTTTGTTTCGTATAGTTTTGTAGTATAGTTTGAAATCTGGGACTGTTGTATCTTCAGCTTTGGTATGCTTTCTTTCTCAGCATTGCTTTAGTTATTTGGAATCTGTACTGTTTCAATAAAAATTTTAGAATTTTTGCTCTAGTTCTTTGAAAAATATTATTAGTATGTCAATAGGGATTGCATTGAATATGTAGAGTGCTTTTCATAGTATGGGCATTTTTAACAATATTAACCCTTACAATCCATGACAATGGTATATCTTTCCACTTATTGTGTCATTTTCAATTCATTCATTAAATGTCTTATACTTTCAGAGTACAGGCCTTTCAACTTCATTGAGTACATTTATTCACTATATTTTCTTGTTTTTGAAGGAACTGAACATGAGATTGCTTTCTTAATTCCTCTTTCTGCCATTTTGTTATTATAGAAAAACAACAGACTTAGGTATTATTCCTTTTGTATCTTTCAATGATTCTAGTTCTAATAGTACTTGGTGAAGTTTCAAGGATTTCCTATAAATAGTTTCAAATCATCTGCAAATATTGACCATATTTTCATCTTCCTTAACAGTTTGCATATTTCTTAATCTTGTCTGACTTGTTTGGTTAGGACTTCCAGTACTGTGTTAAATCAAAGTGGTGAGAGTGGACATCGTGTTTTGTTCCTGATCATAGAGGAAAAACTTTTGGCTCTTGACCACTGAGTATGGTAGCTATGGGTTTGTCATATGTGGCCTATATTCTGTTGAGGTATATTCCCTGTACACACACTTTTTGAGAGTTTTTATGAGGAATGGAGGTTCGATTTTGTCCAAAGATTTTCTACATCTATGGAGATGATCACATGATTTTTAATAATTTATCTCATTAGTGTGGTGTATCATATGTTGATGGATATGCTTATGTTAAATCCTTGCATCCATGGAATAAATCCCACTTGATTGTGGCGAATGCTCCTTTGAATATATTTTGAATTCAGTTTGCTAACATTTTGTTTTATATTTGACATCTATGTTCAACAGGGATATTCCTGTGTAACTTTTTTTCTCTTTGTAGTGACTTTGTCTGGTTTTGGTATCAGGGTAATGCTGGCCTTATGGAATGAACTTGCAAGTATTCTTTCCGCCTCTATTTTTGAGAATAGTTTGAGTAGGATAGGTATAACTCTTCTTTATATGTTTGGTAGAATGTACCTGTGAGGCCATCTGGATGGTTCTGGATTTTTCCTAGGAGTTGTTTCACTAGTAATTCAATTTTGCTTCTTGTAATGGATGTATTTACATTTTCTATTACGTCTTGATCTAGCCTTGGCAGATTACAGTTTCTAAAAACTTGTCTATTTATTCTAGCTTGTACAGTTTGTTGGCAAACAATTTCTCATGCTAATCTATTTTAATCCATTGTATTTCTGTGGTGTTGATTGCAAGTTTTCTTTCTAGTTTCATTAGTTTCATTTCTAATTTTGAGCCTTCTCTCTTGTTTTCTTGATTACTTTCACCAGATATTGTCAATTTTATCTTTTCAAAGAACCAGCTCTTCTTGCAATTGATCTATTTTTAAATCTCCATTTCATTTATTTCTGCTCTGTTCACTATGATTTGGGCTTTGCTTGTTCTTTTTCTAGTTACTCTAGGTGCGATGGTAGAATGTTTGAGATTTTTCTTGTTTCCTGATGTAGGCTTATGTCACTATACACTTCCCTCTTCAAACTGCTTATGCTACACATGCCAAAAATCTTCCATCACTGCATTCATTCAGTGAATACCTGGAGGTATTTAACAACTTCACTTTAATTTCTTTGTTGTTTAGTAACATTCTGTTTAGGCTCCATGCGTTGGAGCTTCCTTCTGTTTTCTTGTACTTGACTTGTACTTTCATACTGCTATGCATGGAAAACATGCTTGGTATGGTTTCAGTCTTAAATTTACTGCAACTTGTAAAATTTTGGGCCTAACCTATGGTCTATCCTGCAGAATGTTCCATGCAGACTTGAAAAGAATGTGTAATCCACTGTTTGGGATGGACTGTCCTGAATACATCTATTAAGTCCATTTGGTCTGATGTGTCATTGAAATCCATTCTTTCCTTACTGATTATTAGTCTAGGCGTTCAATGCATTCACATTAGTGGAGTGTTAAATTCTCTTACAATTACTGTACTACTGTCATTTTCTGCCTTTGTATTTAGTAATGTTTGCTTTATATATTGAGGTGTCCCTGTCAGATGCATAGATATATGCAATTGTTATACGCCCCCTGTTGGATTGATCTGTTTGTCATCGTGTCATGGCCTTTGTCTATTACAGTCTTTGTTTTGAAGTCTGCTTTATCTCATAGAAGTATTT